TTTCTTTCCTATTACAATAATTGGAGACAGAAATTTATAAGTCCAATCCAAGAAGGTTTATTAAATACAACTGAACTAATTAGCTTTGAGGTTTCAAATTTGGTTTGGTTTCGTAATAATGTAGCACATGTAAATATTAAAGGATTCTGATTGTTAAAGAATATTTTGCGCTAAGTACGTTTCATTAAATACATTATTTTCTTACAATAACTTGGAAGTAATTGGATAGCTCTTGTTAAGCCTCGCTCCCCACCCCCCCGCCTAAAAAAAAAGCAAAACAAAAAAGACGCTTTTGCGGTTGCGTGACTTTTAAAGATGTCTTTCCTATTTCTGAATAATTTTGACACCAGAAATATCGAACCCGTGAACAGTGAATTGAACTTGGCTGACTCTCATCAATTTTCTTTCCGTTTCAAAATATTAATGTTACAGTGTCAAATAACAATGAACCGTTCCTTACAAATATTTTACACTCAGTTTTTAACTAGCCTGAAATTCAACCTTCCACCATCGAAGGCCATATTGCTAGAATGAATGAGCGCTGATCTGAGAGTATCCCCTTCTCACCTGCTCGGAACTCTGAGGATTTTGTTTTCATACATCTAAAAATATAAGCTTAATGATAGCTTCAGTGAATACACTGTCTTAGATAAGATAGTCTCCAAGACGATAGCAGACGATACCCGATCGGCTTCGCTTTCCAAATCAAATTAGCTTCCGTTTTAATAGTCAGGGCCCAGTTGTATAAAGGGCGAAGAACGCCATCTAACGGATAAATCGGTATCTAACGGATAAGTCGTGGCAAAATGTACGCGTTATCCACGGGACAGATATTTATCCAGTGGAGAGTGTTATCCTACCTTCGAACAACTAGGGCCAGGAAGCTAGAGCTGACATCGATGTCTCTTATCAACATCCTACACAACAACTCGTTGAAGGAATATCTGCCATTTCCCTAAGCAAAACTTGCTCAGTTTATCCAGATATCGACATGTATGGGGCACCAAAAACCGTCTTCACGTTTACACGTAGGTGTACTGGAAAATGCACAAACCGTGAACGAAAAACTTCTGATGCTCCTAATATCAGGCGGAAATCGGTTCGCCTTAATGACAATACCTGATGTGTATCGCATCGTCGTTCCCAGCTCCTTTCCCCTTCTCGCCATGCTACTGTGGGATATGGCGAGACCCTTGAAACCATGTTGGGTGTTGTAGTGTAAAACTTAAATCAAAGCGTTGCAGCTCAATTTTCTGACCTCACAGGAAGTTCACCAGTAAGTCCACTGTCAACGGTATTTTGCTTTCAAAAAAACCCTAACATCGTCACAACCTTGGAAACAATTTTTCGAAGTACGGCAAATTGTATCAGTAGAAACCCTTTCGGCCATATAATGACCACGGAATACATCATTATCAAATGTCCAAACATTAACCCTTTACACCCTAACATCAGTGTGCATATTCTCCTTACTGTTCTTTATACATTTCCTAAGGTGCGGACAAGGAGAATATGTTTAATAATCAAAAGCTTCCTTAGTCGGTGATCATTTCTTGTATTCTCGTGACCTTATTGTTTAAATCAGGGGTGATATCATAAGGAGAAATTAGATGCTGGTCACTCTTATAAAGCAAAGTGTTAATGAGGATTAAGTCAGTTTAACTCCACACGTCAATTTACGACTTGAAAACGTAAGCCAGAATTCGAAGTCAGTAATGCGTAACATGCAAAAAATCAAAACAAAAAAGAAACCTAATCGGCCATGATCTTCTACAACAAAAGCTTGACTGTGTGATAACAGACCTTTGCTTAATACATTTAGCTTCGGTTCAGATGGTCACTCACCTACAAAGTGAGGGAACTTCCACGCAAACCTGACATAAATCGTGTTCCGTGACGTCACTTTTTTTTAAAAAAGAAAATATATAATGACTTTTTATTGGTAAACCCCTTTTGTCGATTCTTTCGTCAATTCTGATTGGCGAGAGTTGGTAATTTATTTTCATGCTAACGAACAAGATGTTTTAGCAAAATACTTTTATTGACAACTTTTCAGACAACAGTAATCTGAAAAGAACGGGATAGATTGGGGTAGAGACATTTCAAGAAGAACAGCAGAAAGCCATAGATATGTTTTCAGAAGGTAAAGATGTCTCCGTTTCGTTATCAACTCGCTATGTAATGATTACATCAAGCAGCGCCAGTGATCGATCGCCTCTCTTCTCTAGAAGAAACCAGTCACTATATTTATTGTGCCGCTCGTTAAAGCTCTCAGGTGCACTGTCTTAATGTACTTGGCCAAGAGGATTGTCCGCCTTCAACTTTCGGTCTCTTTGCGAACGGTGTTACGAAGCTATGAAATTAAAGCTAGTTGTCTCTTGCAGCGATTCTTTCGACTGAGAAAGGAGTCGCTCTTTCTTCACGCTTACAGCGTAACTATCTCCAAAAGAAATCTGTAAAAACCTTCATCCAATGATCCAACTTTTTTCGACGATCGTGGCACTGTTTACAAATGCAAACTGAAACCGCGTGGACGTTGAAGTCTAGTTTCGTAAGTGCGATGCTAATCGAACATCGTCCTTTTCTTACTCTATACCGAAATCGCTTATAATCTTTTCTTATATCCTAAAAGCAAAGTATATTTTTGAGCTCGGACGCTGAATTGCAAATTTACCCGAAAAATGGAAAATGAATTCGCTTGATAACCTTCACGTGCCACTTAGCAAAAATATTATCAAGCGACATTATTTTGCATAAACTGACATAAACTGACATAACCTGACATTAAATGTCAGGTTTGCGTAAACGCGGTTCCCTCGCTTCCCTTTCACCTTGCGGCTACACGTAGACTATACTTTCTCGGAATTTCAAACAATAGCTCTTTCAGGCAGTGTTTACAAGCAATCTTGTCGAACGCTGACAATGGAGTCCTTCTTGAGAAACCTCACCAAACAAGTTACTTGCTCAGTTTGTCTCAAGACCTTCAAAGAGCCGAAATCATATCCTGTTTTCATACGTTTTGCTGTGAGCGTTTGGAAAAACACGCAAGAGCAAGCCAAAGACATGTGGTCGGTGAGTTGGATCTGAATTTATTAGAAGGTGAACAGTTCGGCTGTCTTCTTGGAATTGCGGTAGATACGGAAGGGAATATTGCCGTAACTGACTGCATTTAGGCTTTCGACAAGTCAGGAACATTCTTACACAAGTTTGGCAAACAAGGCAATCAAGATGGACAATTTAACTACCCGACTGGTTTGCTTATAGACAGCTCCAATAATCTTCTGGTGTGTGATCGGTTAAATAATCGAGTTCAGCAGTTTTCTCTAGACGGCCGCTTCACTAGAAAAAATGTCACTCATTTACCTAATCCGCGTAGATTAGCAACAACACCAGATGGACGTATTCTCGTGACTAACCTTAAAGAAATTCTCATATTGAGGTAGCTGTTTCAATAAACACTTATTTACTTCTCAGTTAGAATTCCTAATGTGCAATAATCGGAGACTGGAATTTGTAAGTTTGTAAGTCCACTGTTAACGATATTTTGCCCACAAAAAACCCCTTACAACGTCATAACCCTGGAAACAATTTTTCGAAGTACGGCGAATAGTAGCAATAGTAGAAATGTATCATTCTCAAAATGTCCAAACATTAACCCTTTACACCCTAACATCAGTCTGTATATTCTCCTTACTGTTCTTTATACATTTCCTAAGGTGCTGACAAGGAGAATATGCTTGATAATCAAAAGCTTCCCTATTTGGTGATCATTTCTTGTATTATTGTGACCTTATTGTTTAAATCAGGGGTAGTATTATGAGAAAAAAAAAGAAACCTAATTGGCCATGATCTTCTCCGACAAAAGCGTGACTGCGTGATGACAGCCCAGTTTCTCAATACAATTAGCTTCAGTTCATAAGGTCACTCACGTACATCCTTTTTTTCTCAGTCAACGTAAAGCAGTAACCTCCCCCACCCTGAAGTGAAACGGAAGAGAGGGAACGTCTACGTAAACCTGACCCTAATCGTGTTCCGTGACGTCACTCTTTTGCAATAAAATATATAGTTACTTTTTATTGGTAAACCTCTTTTGCCAATTCTTTCGTCAATTCTGATTGGCAAGAGTTGGTAATTTATTTCCATACTAACGAACAAGATGTTAAACAAATTGCTTTCATTGTCATCTTTTAAGACAACAGCGATCTGGAAATATCGGTATAGATTGGGATAGAGACATTTCCAAGAAGAATAGCAGAAAGCTATAGATATGTGTTTCGATCGAAACGATACCTCCGTTTCGTTACCAACTCGCCATGGAAGATCTTTGTAAAATCAAGCATCGCCAGTGATCGATCGCTATATTTACTGTGTCGCCCGTTAACGCTCTCACAGAAGACCAGGTGCACTGTATTAATGTACTTGGGCCAAGAGAATTGTCCGCCTTCAACTTTCGGTCTCTCTGCGAATGGTGCTACGAAGCTATGAAAATAAAGCTAGTTGTCTCTTGCAGCGATTCTTCCGACTGAGAAAAGAGTCGCTCTCTCTTCACGCTTGCAGTGTAACTATCTCGAAAAGAATCTTGATCCAATGATCCAACTTTTTTCGACGACCGTGGCACTGTTTGCAAACAGAAACCACGTGGACGTTGAACTCCAGAGCGCGATGCTAATCGAACATCGTCCTCTTCTTATTCCGTCACTCATAATCTTTTCCTATATCCTTAAAACAAAGTACATATTTGAACTCGGAGGCTAAATTGCAAATTTAACCGAAAATGGAAAACGAATTCATTTCAATGTTGTTGTTTATCTTGATAACCTTCACGCTAACAAATTTTACATAAATTAGAGTGACTTCCCGAACACGATTAGTGTCAGGTCCCTCGCTTCCGTTTCACCTTGCGGGGGAGGGTACGGCTACAGGTAGGCTATGTTTTCTCGGAATTTCAAATAACAGTTTTTTCAGGGTGTGTTTACATGCAATCTTGTCGAAGGCTGATTATGACGTCCTTCTGGAAAAACCTCACCAAACAAGTTACTTGCTCAATTTGTCTCGAGACCTACAAAGAACCGAAAATTATATCGTGTTTTCATACGTTTTGCTGTCAGTGTTTGGAAAAACACGCGAGAGTGAGCCAAAGACATGGAAGATTTCGATGCCCCGAGAGTCAGGCAGAAATCCACCTGCCACAAGGAAATCGCTTCGGAGCGTTACAAACCAGTTTTTTTCACAACAGTTTGTTGAATATCCTTGCCGTTCGACAAAGGGGCGATGGAACAAACGTCACTTGTGGCAACTGTAAGAGGACCAGCTCCAATGTCCATTACTGCTTTGATTGTGCTCGATTTATGTGCTATGAGTGTCTGAACGCACACGAAATCATGCGCGACGCATTCGAAGGACACAGAGTCATGCCTGTTAGAGACTTCCAAGATCAAGATTACGAAGCTTTGTTAAAGCGACAGCCCTTTTGCACCAAGAAGTACCACGAGCGAGAGATCACGAGATTTTACTGTCTCCAGTGTCAGTGTTGTGTTTGCCATCTTTGCATCGTGACGGATCATAGAAGCCATGAGGCTATTTTGCTCGACGAAGCGGCGGACAACGAGAAAGGAAACATCATGGTGGATGCTGCAAAGAGCCGGACAAGGGAAAACGATCTAAAGAAAACGATTCGACAGTTTAACCACACAGCTTCCGAGCTGCGAGACAATGCTCAACTGGCTAAACGTGGAGTTTCGCAAGCAGCCGAGCAGAAGATTGCAGAGATTCGAGAGTGCGAGCGACAAGCCATTGAATCAATCGAGACAACGTGCGTCACGAGACTCCAAAGAATCAACACGGCTCGGGAGGCTGTAGAATCTCTGATGAAACAAAACAATAAAGTCGCCGAGTTTGCCGAAAACTTGGTACAGAAAAGCTCGAGCTGGGACGTCATGCAAAACAAGCCAAATTTGAAACAGAGATTTGAGGAGCTTCGAGGAATCCAAGCTGCACAACACCATCAGACCTCCTTCATCAAGTTTTACCCCACTCCTGTTATGGGCTTCAACTTGGGCGACATCGTCACCGAAGACATAGCAGACGCAAGTTGGTCCACTCTAGAGGGACTGGATCAAACTTTTCAGGCTGGTTTAGAAGCAAAGTTCATTTTATCCCCCAAAACACCTGATGGAGAAATCAGTAACCAGCCTGATCTCAAACAGCAAATTGAAGTTCTCATACAACCAGCCGAAGATGTCACGCAAGTCACTGTTTGCATCACAGAAAACGGTAGATTCGAGGTGAAATTTATACCCAAAGTACCTGGTGCTTACAGCATTGAAGTGAAGATTAATGGAGATACACTCGTCAACTCTCCGTTCACTGCGGTGGTGAAGGAGCGTGAACTTACTGTAGTCGGTGAGTTGGATCTGAATTTATTAGAAGGAGAACAGGTCGACAATCTATTTGGAATCGCGGTAAATACGAAAGAAAACATCGCCGTTATTGACAATGGCAAACACTGTGCTTACATATTCGATAAAAATGGTCAATGTTTGAGAAAAATTGGAGTTAATGGATACCCATCTGGCGTGACATATTTGAACGATGACGAGATTTTGATTGTAGACACTAAGAACGGTAGAATACTACAAATTAATATCCTGTCAGGAACTGTTGTAAAAACTTTAGGAAAGGTAGGCGTAGGAATGGGAGAGTTTTATCTCCCAACGGATGTTTGTTTGGATGAAGAACGTCGCATTGTTGTAACCGAGTTTTCGAGTAATAGGGTACAAGTGTTGTCACGTGAGGGAGAGACTATTTCCATCTTTGGAAACATCGGCCAAGAAAAATTATTACTACCGTTGAGCTGCTCGCCTTACAAAAACAAGTTTTTTATCTCTGATAGCGAAGATCATTGCATCAAGGCTTTCGACAAGTCAGGAACATTCTTACACAAGTTTGGCAAACAAGGCAATAAAGATGGACAATTTAACCACCCGTGTGGTTTGCTTATAGACAGCTCTAATTATCTTCTGGTGTGTGATCAGCAGAATAACCGAGTTCAGCAGTTTTCTCTGGACGGTCGCTTCACTGGTAAAAGTGTCACTCATTTACCTAATCCTCGTAAAATAGCAGCAACAATAGATGGACGTATTCTCGTGACTACCCGTGAAAAAATTTTCATCTTAAAGTAGCTGTTTAAATAGACACATTTACTTTGCAGGTTGTATTCTACCTCTAATGAACCGAACTGTTTCTTTCCTAATGTGCAATAATCCGAGTTCGCTACGTTCGAGTTTGCTACATGTTCGCTACTAACATGCGGAATTTGCTGCCTCTGTTAATTCACAGTTCTAATTTCTCTTTTTAACCATAAACCATGCACAAGCAATATCTGTAATTCATACTCCCAAATAAGTGATTACCCTTTCTAGGAGTCAGTTAAACTGATCATACGCATATTGCCTTGTAGTTTACTTCTTAATTATAATCAAAGCAAGATTTTAGAGGATAGTTGTAATCAAAGTTACGTAGTAAGATTTTCAAGTGCTGTGCGTAGTAGCCTAACTAGATTCGGTACCTTAGACTCCATTCGTTTACATTACTCTGAGTAGAAATCTATTTAGCGTGCTTATAGACTCTGAAATATATAGTTTAATAATAAAGAAAGTACTGTTAAATTAATTATTTTGACTCGTCTTTACAGGTTTTCTGCTTTCTCTCTCTTGTCAATGCCGCTGTTCCATTTTTAGCGATGCGTGGGCTCGATGATAACCACGATAATGTGCTAGAACATGGCGCCCACTTAAGGTTGACTAAGGCAGATTTCTTTAACATAAGATGTTGGTTCTAAAAAGTCGTGGAAGTAAAATGATAGAATGGTACAATTAAGTAAGTGGCGAACATGTTGCGGACTCGAACGTAGCGAACTCGACAAGTAACGAAACTGGCTATATTTATTCGACTGTACTCTGTTCTGTAGTAAAGCACACAGGAAGCGGCTAGAGCAAGAAAGAGGTGTAGGGGAAAACACGAGACGTAGTCAAGCGTTTCTCCCTACTTCTTGAGTGCAACTGAGAGTATAATCTGATTGGTGGAATAAGTCCCTTTACACTCCCTTTATACTTCTGAGGACTTCCACTACTTATCATTACTGTGTTACCTTGTGTTGCTATTGCTGTGATCTGCTTAACTCTTTCCAGGTCTATCTTGATCCATTATGGATCCCTGCTGGAGGCACACCACGTTCCGATTCGCTTGCGATCTTGATCATCCTCAAAGTACAAACGTGCATTACTCGCACTGGCTACCCAACCACCACCTTCAATTACAGACATAACATAAGATTGGTCAATCTTTGGTGGTAGTAAATCTTTTAAGCTAACGAACATACTCAGATAATATGATGCCCATCAGGAATGAATACAAGCAATTCTCTTTAACATGAGTCTTTCAAGGCTCGTGTTAAAGAGAATTATTCGTTTCGGTGAATTTTTCCTTACGATATCAATACAACAACACCGATGTCAAGCAGGCGAATGATAAGAATAAAGAAAAAATGACCTTTAAGGGATTATTACGTGAACCAACAACAAATTCTCCGAACTAACATCATAAGGTTTGAATGGCACACAGTAAGGACGTGAGCATTTAGCGTAACTGTGATATTTTATGATGAAATGACCAACTTTTACCTTCTTGCTTCTTGCTGGTTACATGAGCTTTTCGGAAATTACTTGCCTCCAAAATCCAGAAATTTCTGAAAAAAATATTCTTGGCTTCTATAACCTTTTCGATTTGTAAGTACTCAATCTTCTTCGGTTTTAGATGACCAGCTCCTTTCCTAGATAACTTTAAGACAACTTTCACTGTTATAAAGTGTCATTTTTATGCGACAACCTCAGTTACAAAGGCCTGGTCTAAAGAATATACCGTTGCTCAATCTGAATAAACAGTTTTTCTCCATAACTTCAAGAGTTTTAGAAAATAAACGACACTTTTTAAAGAAATGTTTCGACAATTCTTCTGTTATCTTCAGTTTTGATTTACACAAAGTACAAAGTTGAATTTAAAAGTGTATCACACAATGCTGATTGGACAAAAACAAAACAATAGTAACAGAACAATGTATGCAATTTACAAGGAAATTAACATGATGAAGTTGAGGATTAGGTGTGGGTTGTTCCCACTGGATGTGGATAGATGCGTGAGCACTTAGTCAGTGATAGGACCTCTCGCATTTTTAGACATCTACATAATTCTACACAATGTCGCATTCTCTGTTCTGATAAGTGTTTTAGCATCTTAGATCACGCTTCCACAACTTTCCAACTCAAAATCGAAGAATTCTGAGGAATTGATATTATAGTTTCAAATAACATTCAACCGTTCCTTCCAAATATTTAACACTCAGTTTTAAAATAGCCTGAAATTCAACCTTCCACCATAGAAGGCCATATTGCTAGAAAGAATGAGCGCCAACCTGAGAGTATCCCCTTCTCACCTGGTCGGAATCCCGCCACATCTTGCCCCAGAGGAGGGGGTGATGTGTGTAAAAAACCCCGCAGACCATTTTTTTCGACCGATAAATCTGAAAAAGAGAATAGTTTGTTTTCCTACTAGCCGGCGGCAATATCTAAAACTAAAGGCTCACTGATAGCTCCAGTGAATACTCTGTGTTCGATAAGATACTCACCATGACGATACCGGACGATAACCGATCGGCTTTACTTTTCAAATTAGATTAGCTTCCGTTTTATTGGTCAGGGCCCATTTGTATAAAGGATGGATAACACTATCCAACGGATAAATCGCTACCCAGCAGATAAGTGATAGCAAAACGTATAGCGTTATCCACCGGATAGAAATTTTATCCTTTGAATAGTGTTATCTGACATTCAAACAACTGGGGCTAGGAAGTTATAGCTGACATCGATGTTTCTTTATAACATCCTACTCAACAATTCGTTGAAGGAGTATCTGCCATCAGTCTATCAAAACTTGCTCAGTTTATCTAGATTCCGACACGTATGGGCGACCAAAAACTGTCCCATGTCTCTACAATTTTAGACGTGGGTTTACTAAAAAACGCACTAGCGATGAACGAAAAACTTCTGATGCTCGTCATATCAGGCGGAAATCGGTTCGCCATAGAGACAATACCTGATGTGTATCGCATCGTCGTTTCCAGCTCCTTTCCTCTTCTCGCCATGCTAGTGTGGGATATGGTGAGACTTTGGAAACCATGTTGGGTATTGTATTGTAAAAGTTAAATCAAAGCGTTGCAGCTCAATTCCCTGACAAAATGAACGCACAGTAAGCTCACTAGTAAGTCTACCGTTAACGATATTTTGCTCACAAGAAAATCCTTACAACGTTATAACACTGGAAACAATTTTTCGAAGTACGGCAAAAAGTAGCAGTAGAAACTCCATCGGCCATATAATGACCACAGAATGCATCATTCTCAAATGTCTAATCATTAACCCTTTACACCCCAACATCAGTCTGTATATTCTCCTTACTGTTCTTTATACATTTCCTAAGGTGCTGACAAGGAGAATATGTTTAATAATCAAAAGCTTCCCTGATTGGTGATCACTTCTTGTATTCTCGTGACCTTAATGTGTAAATCAGCGGTGATATTGTAAGGAGAAATCAGATGCTGGTCACTCTTTGGGGTCAAAGGGTTTAAGAGGAATAGATCAGTTTTACTCCACACGTCAATTTACGACTTGAAAACTTAAGCGAGAATTCGAAGTCAGTAGTGCGTGAAAACATGCAAACAATTAAAACAAAAAAGAAACTCAAGCGTGACTGGGTGATGATAGCCCAGTTTCTAAATATAATTTATTTAGCTTCAGTTCATGAGGTCACGCACGTAAATCCTGTTTTCTTAGCCAGCGTTAAGCCGTACCCCCCCCCCCCAAACTGAAACGGAAGCGAGGGAACATCTACGCAAACCTGACACAAATCGTGTTACGTGACGTCATTTTTTTTTGTGCAATAAAATATATAATTACTTTTCCTTGGTTAATCCTTTTTCCTATTCTTTCGTCAATTCTGATTGGCGAGAGTTGATAATTTATTTTTATATTAACGAACAAGATGTTAAACAAAATGCTTTCATAGTCAACTTTTCAGACAACAGCTCTCACAGAAGACCGAGTGCACTATCTTAATGTACTTAGGCAAAGAGGCTTGTCCGCCTTCAACTTTCGGTCTCTTTGCGAACGGTACTACGAAGCTACGAAATAAAAGCTAGACGGTCTCTTGCAGCGATTCTTTCGGCTGAGAAAAGAGTTGCTCTTTCTTCACGCTTGCAGCGTAACAATCGGCTAAAAGAAATCTGTAAAAACCTTGATCCAATGGTCCAACTTTTTTCGACGACTGTAGCACTGTTTACAAATGCAAGCAGAAACCGCGTGGACGTTAAAGTCTAGTTTTGCGAGAGCGATGCTAATCGAACATCGTCCTCTTCTTATTCTATACCAAAAATCGCTCATAATCTTTTCCTCTATCCTGAAAACAAAGTTTATATTTGAACTTGGACGCTGAATTGCAAATTTACCCGAAAAAGGGAAAATGAATTCACTTCAATGCTGTTGTTTATCTTGATAACCTTCACGTGCCACTTCGCAAAAAAATATTATCAAGCGACATTATTTTGCATAAACTGACATAATCTGACACAAGTGTCAGGTTTGCGTAAACGCGGTTACCTCGCTTCCGTTTAACCTTGCGGGGGAGGGTACGGCTACACGTAAGCTATGTTTTTCTCAGAATTTCAAACAATAGCTTTTACAGGCTGTGTTTACATACAATTTTGTCGAACGCTGACAATGGAGTCCTTCTTGAGAAATCTTACCAGACAAATTACTTGCTCGATTTGTCTCGAGACCTTCAAAGAACCGAAAATTATATCGTGTTTTCACACGTTTTGCTGTGAGTGTTTGGAAAAACACGCAAGAGTGAGCCAAAGGCATGGAAAATTTAGATGCCCCGAGTGTCAGGCAGAAATCCACTTACCAGAGGGAAATCGCTTCGAAGCGCTGCCAACCAGTTTTTTTCACAACAGTTTGTTGAATATCCTTGCCGTTCGACAAAGTGGCGATGAAAAAAACATCACTTGTGGCAACTGTAAGAGGACAAGCTCCAATGTCCATTACTGCTTTGAATGTGCTCGATTCATGTG